TCCGCCTCCTCCGCCTCCTCCGCCTCCTCCGCCTCCACTCCCTCCTCCTCCTCCTCCTCCTCCTCCTCATCATTCTCCTCTTTCCTCCTCCTTCTCCTCCCCCGGGGCTTTTCAGAAGTTTGCTGTGAGAACCCCTCTGTGGCTTCGGGGGGGGGCTCGAGCCTGGTGGGAAGGCACCCCCTTGGGCACGCCGCCGAGTGATACGGGAAACCTGTGTTCAATCCTGGTGATGATTCTTTCAGGAAGGGGAAAACACACAAACACAATCAATCGTCGACGAGAAACAGGTCGAACTGAGATGTGAAGGGGGGACGAAACTTAAATAAGGAGAATATTGGGAATCCTGGGATTTTTGTGTACGTGTGTATTTATTTAATCGCTTCGCTCATTCCGCCGGCCCTGGAGCGTTCTTTGGGGCCTCTTGGGGCTCCTTGGCGGAGTCTTGGGGGCCACTGGGGCCTTTTGGAGGCCTCTTGGGGCGGGAGGGGGAGGTAGTCGATTGCGGCTCCCCCCTCGGAGGCCACTATCCTCGTGAGGGGTGTCGAGAAATGGCCATTCCCTGGGGCGTTCTGGGGGGATCGCCCGGGAGTGGCCCAGGAGTGCGGTATTTTTCGTCCGGGGGCCCCCCGGGGCCGCCCCCGGGGCCGCCGCGCGCGTGCGAATTTGAGCTATTGCTAACCAGTCACCGGAGATCTTAGCACGCCACTGGCCTGTTGGGCCGGCGAATTTGTGTGCGTGTGTGTGTGTGTGTGTGGGTGTGTGTGTGTGTGTGTGTGTGTGTGTGTGTGTGTGTGTCCTTCTGGGATGGGCGCGGGGGTTGCTAAGGGGATAATTAGGGGGGGTTATCAGTGGACTTCAAATGGGTTAAACCTGGCCTCACCTAGCTCATTAGTGGGTTGCTAATGCCCCCAGTGGCTTGGGGGGAGCGATCCAGGCTAAGTAGGCTCCGCCCACATAGCGGAGCTGTCTAATCCCCGTGAGACAATTGGGGCACGTGCAGCCCACTTATGAGCCAGGTCAGGCCAGGGATGACCCATCTAGTGTCCACTGATCCCCCCCCTGTCCCCTCAGCATTAAGCCGGGCCTGTCCCTCTACAGAGGGGATGTTCAACAATAGTCATGAAATAGGCCAGGGACTATCTTTTGAGTGTTTTTTTTTTGCCGTGTGGGGGTATGCGTTGATACTTTTTTTTACGTTGTTGTCGCAGATCCCCCTGCAGGGGGACACGCCCGATCTTCACCTTGGCACCCCCCGCCGCCCCTCCCGGGATCGGGGGAGCGTAAGACCCGGGGTTGCCGGGACTCGGGTTCGCCGTCGTTTTTTGACGACCGCGCCTCGGATTTTGACGAGGAGGAGTTTCGTGGGATGTCTGCAGCGGGAGGCCTCGTCGGAATGCAGGCTCGGCCTCGTCATTTTTTGACGACCTCGTCGGGGATTTCCGAGTCCCCCGTACCCGGGTCTTACGTCTCCCCGAATCTGGGGCCGCCTTGGGCCAGGGTCATTCGAGCGGGTGGTAAGGGTGGGGGGGGGGGGGGGGGCGAAATGGGCGGTGAAGGAAAGGGCCCCAGAGAGGCTCTGTAGGGCTCTTCTCTTCATTCCCCCCTTTGCTGGGCATCGCTCGGACGTGTGCATTTTTCCGTCGGCGAGGACGTACCCGGGTCTTACGTCCCCCTGACGGGAGGGGCCCCGGATCTGTTCCGTCCTGGCGACGCGGCTTCCCCACTCGGCCTCTCCGGGGCCCCCGGCTCGGGCCGCGGGGCCCGGCGGCCGCCGCTTAAAGGCTTCAAGATCTTAAGCGCACTTGCACCCTAGCTATATGTAGTCTGAGTATCTTAGTTGTACTTACGCTACTTACCTGAGTTAGATATAAGTTACTTATAAGTAACCATAGCGCACGCGCTGTAAGTTACTTAAGGGGTACATATAAGTTACTTATAAGTATTCCTAACTGTTGCTTGAGGGGGGAGGGAGGAGGGGGAGGAGGGAGGAGGCGCGGCGCTCACGTCTTGCCCTTTGCCCGCGCGCGGCCCTTCGGCTTCGCCTTGGCCTTTGCCTCCGCCTCCTTCGCCGCCGCCTCCCTCTCCTTCTTATCCTTCTTCTCCTTTTTTTTTTTTTTTTTTCTTTTTCTCCGCCTTCGCCTTCGCCTTCTCCTCCTTCTCCGTCAGCAGCTTGCCCCTCTCGTCCCTCAGCGCCGTCTCCCGCTTCAGCGCCGCGTCCCTCTCCTCGGTCGCCTTCTTCAGCTCCACCTCCGCCTCATTCGTCGTCGTCGACGTCGTCGTCGTCGTCGTCGTCGTCGTCGTCGCATCCCGCCTCGTCCAGCCATTGCGAGAACTGGAGCGATAACGATCGCTGGGAGGAGGAGGATGAGGGGAGAAGGGGGAGGAGGAGGAGGAGGAGGAGGAGGAGGAGGAGGAGGAGGAGGAGGAGGAGGAAGGGGAGGAAAGAGAGGAGGAGGAGAAAGAAGGGAGGCGGGGGAGAAGGAGGAGGAGCGGGAAGGGGAGGAAGGGGAGGAAGGGGAGGAAGGGGAGGAAGGGGAGGAGGACGGAGCGGGCCCGCCAGTTCTCGCAATGGCTGGACGAGGCGGGATGCGACGACGACGACGACGACGATGTCGACGACGACGGCGACGACGAATGAGGCGGAGGTGGAGCTGAAGAAAGCGATCGAGGAGAGGGGCGCGGCGCTGAAACGGGGGACGGCGCTGATGGACGAGAGGGACAAGCTATCGCTATCCTCCTCGTCCTCCCAGCGATCGTTATCGCTCTCCTCCTCCACTTCCTCCTGTCCCCTCCCAGCGATCGCTATCGCTCTCCCCCTCCACTTCCTACTGCCCCCCGTCCGCCCAAAACGACGTTAAATCTGCTAAAGCAGCTGGCGCCAAAAACGGCGTTAAAACAGTTAAAGCAGCTTGCTCGTCATCCTCCCCCCCCCCCTCCCGAGCGATCGCCATCGCTACGCCTCCGCGATCCCCATCGCCCCCCGCTTTCCCAAGCGATTGCCATCGCTTCACCTCCGCCCAGCGATCCCCATCGCTTTGTTTTTGCATATGCGCGCGCGCGGTGACGTGTCCGCCGCGCCCCTTCTCAAGCTGAGTGAGGAACGATGCGGCGGCCTCCAGCTGCTCCACCAGCGCGCTGGCCGCCATGATGCTAGCGCGGCGGCAACGGGGGCGCGCGCGCCCGCCAGAGCCAGCAACGGCTAACCAGTGGACGGCTAAGCTAGCGGCAATGACCGCACAGCGATCGAGATCGCTTTGCCCTCCACCGCCTCCGACTCCCCCCCCCTCCCCCCCCTCCCCCTCCCTGATGCTCTTCACCCAATCCACCACTTCCATCCGCTCTCTGGTCGAATAAGCCTCATCCTCCGCCTC